AAAATTAAAGCCACTACACCATCATCAGTATAGTTTTTGGAAGATGACTGTGCTGTTTCGTCTATGTCAACCAAAGATGCACACGAGTAAAGCATTTTCAGCTTGAAATTTATAAAATTAATTATTTTAATATATCCTTTATTTTAACTTCGCTTTTGTTCGTGTGTTTGTGGCAAACATCTTCGGACGCCTAATTGACCAGTTGCCCGTCCTCCTATCAAATTGAAAATTGGCACATAAACTCGTTGCCGATGACAACACATTCTATCTAAATTTTCATCTTCACCCCTCCCCACTAACCCCCAAAAATGATATTTTTTTTCTTCATTTTTTTCAAGGGGAAGATGAATGAAATATGATTTGTTCAATGGGTGCTTGTTTTGATGTGGGATTAATTGTGTTGCTATTGCTATGGGGCTTGTATTTGGGGTTAAAGATATCTTTAGTCTATTAGATTTTACATGTACTAAGTTTGATAAAAAATATTTCCATACCAAAAAAATCAGTTGCTACAATCACATAAGTGATAAATCACGTACAATCACATAAATGCAAACAAAAATGCCTATAAAGGATTTGTATGAAACACATTTTTAATGGGTTTTTCATTTATTTTAATTTGTTAGCTTTTATTTCATGGTTGGTTGTAGCGAAAAGGTGTTCCACTATGGGGGAAAAGGGTGGGGGGAGCACTGGTCGCTACGCTGCTAAACGGTTTGCAGAAAACAGTTTTAAACTTAAGTCCCGATATCCAACATTTAAAATTACCCCTCCCCCCACCCCTCCTCTCCAATGATATTTGTCAAACCTTCATTGAACGAAAAACACGCAGGGTATGGATTATTCAAACAGTGAATACGTTAACAACAGTTGTTGAGACCAATGCATTAGTCGGAACATTGTCACTGCACTTCAAACAGATTTCTCGTTTGCTATGGTAAATTATAGCTGCGTTAAATGCCACCAGGGTCGTGTAGCAGACTTGTTCGGACGAGCTCGGCTCAATACGACATTTTGTCATCTAAGGCTCCACTCCAGCTCCACTCCAAAAGACATTTTGTCGGCTAAGGCTCCACTCCAGCTCCACTCCATACGACATTTTGTCGGCTAAGGCTCCACTCCAGCTCCACTCCATACGACATTTTGTCGGTTAAGGCTCCACTCCAGCTCCACTCCATACGACATTTTGTCGGCTAAGGCTCCACTCCAGCTCCGCTCCCGAACATCGGAAATATGAAACGAAATCAATAAACAGTAATCGATAATCAGACGATATTTTACTTATTTATAGGTTAGTCGGCTTTGGCCATAAATGCCACCTACATCAGGGGCTGGCAAACCACGGCACGCGGGCCACATCCGGCTCTTAGAGTCCATGATACAAGAAAATCAAGCGCCATTGACAATATGGGGCGTGGTATTTTTCAAAGTTGGAGATAAATCCATTGGTCAGTGTCACATGGTAAACCACGGCACGCGGGCCACATCCGGCTCTTAGAGTCCATGATACAAGAAAATCAAGCGCCATTGACAATATGGGGCGTGGTATTTTTCAAAGTTGGAGATAAATCCATTGGTCAGTGTCACATGGCTTGATCACCCTTGAAGTGCCTCAATAACAGGTGCGGTTACATGGGAAATATAAAGCGTGTGCATTGTGTCCAAGGCATTGTCCCTAAACAGACCTAGGGGGAAAAGTATCGTGCTTTATGTCCAAGGCATTGTCCCTAAACAGACCTGGGGGGAAAAGTATCGTGCTTTATGTCCAAGGCATTGTCCCTAAACAGACCTAGGGGGAAAAGTATCGTGCTTTATGTCCAAGGCATTGTCCCTAAACAGACCTAGGGGGAAAAGTATCGTGCTTTATTGTGTGTAATTGATTCCGTGGCGTCTCTGCATTATCAATAATAAAGTGAAAACTATCATATTATCTTTTTGTTTTTGAAGTGAGAGCTTCATTTGCACGCTTATGTTAAGGTGCCTCTGTTGTGTGATACACTTATGTTAAGGTGTCCCTGTTCTGTGGTACAATTATGTTAAGGTGTTCCTGTTGTGTGATACAATTATGTTAAAGTGCCTCTGTTGTGTGAAACAATTATGTTAAGGTGTCCCTGTTGTGTGGTACACTTATGTTAGGGTGTCCCTGTTGTGTGATACACTTAGGTTAAGGCGTCTCTGTTGTGTGAAACACGTATGTTAAGGTGTCCTTGTTGTGTGAGACACTTCTGTTAAGGTGTCTCTGTTGTGTGATACACTTATGTTAAGGTGTCCTTGTTGTGTTATACACTTATGTTAAGGTGTCCCTGTTGTGTGGTACACTTATGTTAAGGTGTCCCTGTTGTGTGATACACTTATGTTATGGTGTCCCTGTTATGTGGTACTCTTAAGTTAAGGTGTCCCTGTTGTGTGATACACTTATATTAAGGTGTCCCTGTTGTGTGGTACACTTATGTTAAGATGTCCCTGCTGTGTGAAAAACGTATGTTAAGGTGTCTCTGTTGTGTGGGACACTTCTGTTAAGGTGTCTCTGTTGTGTGATACACTTATGTTAAGGTGTCCCTGTTGTGTGATACACTTATGTTAAGGTGTCCCTGTTGTGTGATGCACTTATGTTAAGGTGCCTCTGTTGTTTGATACACTTATGTTAAGGTGTCCCTGTTGTGTGATACACTTATGTTAAGGTACCTCTGTTGTGTGATACACTAATGTTAAGGTGCCTCTGTTGTTTGATACACTTATGTTAAGGTGCCTCTGTTGTGTGATACACTTATGTTAAGGTGTCCTTATTGTGTGGTACACTTATGTTAAGGTGTCTCTGTTGTGTGAAACACGTATGTTAAGGTGTCCCTGTTGTGTGATACACTTATGTTAAGGTGTCCCTGTTGTGTGATATACTTATGTTAAGGTGTCTCTGTTGTGTGATACACTTATGGTAAGTTGTCTCTGCTGTGT